CATTAGCAAGCTCATTATGTCACTTTTCTAGATATGTGAATATATATTAACTAATGATCAGGGGTGTAACGGTTCACAAAATTCACGGTTCGGTTCGATACGATACAGTATTGTCACGGTTCGGTACATTTTCAATACAATAAAAAGAAAGAAATGCATGAGAAATTTCCTTGATTTTTACAAATTTTTAATCATGATTTGTTATAGGTGATTTGTTTTGCCCTGTTTGAATCAGTTGGAAATGCCTGCCTAAATGCTGCGGGGATAGTTTGAAGATGTGGGTTTATCTCCTTGTTTTCGTCTAGTTCCATAATTTTTGGAAAAAAACTGCACAAATAAATTAATGTTCACCTTTTATTTGTATTTAGTCTTCATACAAACAAAACAATTTGAAATCACTGTCAAATAAAATGTAAAAGACTCTCAGGCTCACCTTAATAATATTAAAATATTAATAACATTAATATATAATATTAATATTATATAATAATATATTTATATTTAAAACACCTGTGCTGCGTTTTGATTTTGAAACGTGCAGTGCTCATGTCCATCTAAACTATTCTGAAGACAGTCGGTTCCCTTCAGATATACATTCATATAAAACACCCGCGACGTGTTTTGATTTTGAAACGTGCAGTGCTCATGTTTATTCAACTAAGTCAAACGCCACAAATAAATCAATGTTTGGTAAACACTGATAATGTGTATCAAAATATCGGAAATGTGTTTAAAAATCATATCACTGTTATTGAAAAAAATTATATTGCCATATATATTGATATTAAATAATTGTCCAGCCCTAGTTACTAGCCATATTGACTAGCCTGACGTCGTTTGGGCTGCCTTGTTGAGCACAGTGGCACTGAGAACATTATATTTCACACACTTTATTTTATTTTCCAAATGTAATAGGATTAGTCCAACGAATCGTTCGGTTTGTAATGCATACCAAACTAAAACCCTCGTACAGAACGGTTCAATACGAATACATACATCGTTACCATAGACTGTAAAAAAACATGGACGTAGTGTCCGTGACGTCACTCGTAGGTTTCAGAAGAGCATTTTTGAAGCCTAAAGTGGGCGGAGCCGACCGCCGCCATCTTGGCAGCACGTCACTCCCGGATAATCGAAAATGGGCAAAAAGGCAGGACGTGGGTGAAGCTGAGGTGCTAGTTGCTGAAACCACGCCCGTCTATGGTGACAGCACTGCTGTCGTGCAAAGACAAAACACCATAACTTCGTTTTTGGTAGAAATGAGTTATTGATCATTTTGGGACATATATGACCTCCTTTATCATGTGTATAAGTATCATGGCGAAAAGCCCAGGAGAAACCAAGGCAGAACACAGTATCATCAGTTACCGCTCTTTGACTTTGTTTTAGATCGTTAGAAGTTTAGAAGTTACGGTGCTCTACATTTGTTTAGCCGTCCGTCAATATTACTGTGCCAGCCTGGAGTTGTACGGTATTCTGCCTTTGTTTTAATGTCCATTAAAGTCTGCCGCGTTTAAATTACGGTGTGACTTGTGTACTTTCATACATCTGTCGGCACTTCTTTAGACAAACAAATTAGATAGATCGCAATCTAACAAACTGCTCCATATAACAAAGCACTGTAAACAAGCAACGACCAGATAACTTGGCAACAATAATTAATCGTAAATAATCTTTACATTTTTTTTTCACGTTTAACTTTTTGTCTGGTTGTTACGGTCAGAATTTTTTTTTAAATTACATTACTACCTATATGTTATAGCCTAGCCAATGATCACTAGATTTTATATAGATGTTACTATAATGATTCTGTAAATGGTGATCAGCACCCAAATATTGTATATTATGTGGAAGCTACTGCCTTTTGCCTTGGCGTGACTTTTTGCAGACAGTGCAAAAGCAGAGTACCTACAATAACTTCAAAATAGCGGTAAAAATCAAGTCTGAGATAATTTTCATTAAAACATCTAATTGCCAGATTTTCAGTGTCCTACCTTTCACAGTCTAGTGAGTTTCAAATAAAAATCTTGAGCGGCAGTCCACCTGTCACTCAAGTGGCCACGCCCTTAATTATGCAGAACTTTAAGGCTTAATATAATTTAAACGGATGAGT